GGGCAAAACATAAAAAAGCCACTGGTCATTTCCTTACATGCCATATTTAGGATGACAAGGCTTTTTGGTTTGATTAGGCATTTTTCCTAACTTTGACTGACTCAGCACTGTATAAGAAGGGTGGTGGCCTCACTGCAAAGAGATGGGATAAGGGATGGGAATTAAATCATATATTTAACTGGGCAACTTTCCTATTCTCTCAAGACAGGATTCTGTATGGGGGAGAAAAAATCCATATCTGGGGTGGCCTATGAAATGTCTGAGGCCCTATAGCTCGCAATCCTGTAAGGCAAATAATGCATTGGAAAGCTAAATAGTGGTTGATGAATGTAGTGTTTTAAAAGTTGGAAGAAATCTTGACAAAAGTAATCAACAAACAGGACAGACTACCTCCCCACTTCTGTGACACAGGTCCTAACCCATCTTCCCACCCAGTTGCCAAGCTCTCCTGCACCATCCCTTCACCCGGCCTCCCCAAACTGAGGAAGCTCTTCCACACACTTAAGAGAATGTCAGCCCTTTCTACCAATTTCAGGAATTCTATCCCTTGTCATCCTCTGTCCTGTATTCCTACAAGCATCTTGTAAAATTCTCTTCTATACCTGAAGACAAGTCCTCTAATCAGATTTCCACCGCACTCCAAAAAAAATTCTCATCGCTCTACTCCAGTATTCCCTTTGCTAAAATCTCTGTTCCCTCCCTGGACAACATCTCCAGTTTCTCCTGGATCACTTTTCCAGCTGCTCAAGATAGGCCAAAATATGCTTATTAGCTCTTCTGTGTATGTTTCACTTTGTTAGACTATAATTATAGTAATTATGCAGATAGCCCGCATTGTGGTTTTTCAGGGTCATTCTTTTTCTTACCTGACTCACCAGAAGAACTGATGTACATTTTTTTTTTCCTAAGTGTTAGAAGTGCAATTAGTCCGCTGTTTTTCCTTTTTCTGTAAACTCTCGGAATGGTCCCCCCTTCTGGTATTTCTTTTAACAGTATTGTTTTTTATCGTAGATTTGGATTTGTCACTTACTCCTAGTGGAGAAGTGACTAAGCAGATTGGAGAAGCTCTCCCGGTATCATGCACCATCTCTTCCAGTAGAAATGCAACGGTGTTTTGGATGAAGGTGAGTACGAGTTTTAACAACTATTGCTTCTTTTATTGGGTTACCTATTAAGAGTTCCCACGGGGCTGGGGAAAGAAACAGAAGGGGTTTTAATGAATCTTTTTAACATTGATCATTTATAAGCAATCAGCAGCTAAAAGATCAACCTGGACATTTAATATTATAGCCTTTTGGACCAATTTGCTTACATTTTCAATGTTGACTAGTGATTTTTGGATGCCTCCATTTTTGAGTGTGCTACTTGACACTTTAAAAGCACCTGATTTTTTCCAACAAACTGTGCAGCATTTTAAATGGGACTAATTTTCACTTTGTCATTGAAAATATTGAGGTCTCCGGGTATATACTAAACAATTCTAAAGATTTAGGCTATTATGGTTTTGTTGTGTTTCCCATAAACATACTAAAAGGACATGATATGTTAGGTGATGAAGGGAGGTGACTAGATATCTCAGGGCATTAGTAAGTATCTGGTCAGTGACTTGTGTTAGAAAGCGTCTATTTATCAACACTACTACCCAAACTGACAGCTTAGGGCAGAATAGATTTTAGGTACCAAACCATCATCTGATCCTCTCCTTCAAAGCTGAGAACTTTTATGGTGGGGGGTGGCATAGGTAAGCTTGCAGGCACACTGGCCATATATAAGTAGATCACTGAAGCTTGCAGACCTCTTCTTATAGCACTTTTTAGAAGTTGAGAAAAAAATTGTCCTGCTTAGCATAGCTGTTGCTAAATACATTGTCAAACAAATATCGGGTTTTAGTTGTAAGATGCAAAATAGTAGGAAGGAAGGAAAAAGCAAAGACACTGATACAAAACAGGGAACAACTAGCTGGTAATACAAGTTGAACCTCTCTAAACTGGGACTCTGGTCCAGCAATGTCCATGGTTCATCAAGACCAAGGATGTTCTTGGACTAGAGAGCCCTGGAAGTTGGGTTCCTGGCCACAGGCCCTCCTGCCACCATTCTGGAGCTGGGGCTGTAGTCCCCTGACAATCCTCAGGAGCACAGGGCCAGATCCCCACAGCAGCCCCTTTGAGCATGGGGCTGTGTCCGGAGCCCTGCAGCAGCCTCTGGGAACGCGGGGTTGGGCTGGAGCCCTAAGGCATCCCGCAGTAGCACAGGGCTGGGGACAGAGTCCCATGGCAGCCAATGTCAGCACAGGGCCAAAGCCCCGCATCAGCCCCTGGGAACATGGGCCTGGGGCCGGAGTCTCTTGGCAGCCTTCAGAAACACAGGGCCAGAGCCCCCACAGAAGCCCTTAGGAGTGGCAGAAGCCGGAGTCAGTGCTGAAGCTGGTAGCAGCTGAGCAAGCAGCCCCCAGCCAGTTTGGGAGGGAGGGCGTAGCAGGTCCTTGCTGGGGGCATGGGGTTAAGGGCTGGTGGCAAATTCTCTTGTTCGGGACCAGTCCGGTTCCAAAGATGCTGGACCAGGAAGGTCTAACCTGTACTGAAGAAAAGGATCTGGAGGTTACAGTAGATCGCAAATTGAATATGAGCCAATAATATGATGCAATTGTGAAAAAGGCAAGTAATAGTCTGGTAAAAAGGCAAGTAATTTAATACAGGGGACGTTCTTGTCCCTCTCTGTTCAGCTTGGCTAGAGTATGGTATCCAGTTTTGGGCACCATGGTTCAGGAAAGATGTGGATGAATTGGAGAGTGGACTGCAACAAAAATAATAAAATGTTTAGAAAAACTGACATATGAGTCTTGAGGAAAATGATGAGGCAGGATCTGATAAGTGTATGTTAAGGGCTATTGTAAAGAAGACAGTGAATGATTGTTCTCATGTCCACCGACGACAGGATAAGAAAGAATCAGCTTCATCTGCAGCAAAGGGAATTTAGAATAGATAAGAGGGGAAAAATGTAACTATTAAGTATAGTTAAGTACTGGAATAATTTTCCAAAGGAAGAGGGTTAGAATCTCTGTCCTTGGAGATTTAAGGAAAGTGTGGTCTAGATTTACTTGTCTTGGGGAAAAAGGATGGATTAGCTCAGTGGTTCCCAAACTTTTGTATTGGTGATCCCTTTTACATATCATATTGGTGACCCTCTCAGTTCAACCACCCCTTAAGTATTTAAAAGTGTTTTGAATTTATAATACCATTATAAATGCTGGATGCAAAGCATGATTTGAGGGTGGAGGCTGACAACTTGCAACCCTCCTTCCCCCATTTAATATTGACCTTGTGGCTCCCTGAGGAGTCTTGACCTCCAATCTGAGAACCCCCTGGGACTAGATGATCTCTCAAGGACCCTTTTAGCCTTATATTTTATGATTAAGGCTCTGACCCCACAAAGCATGTGAGTAGTTCTGTTGAAATCAATTGCATGCATTTTTGTAATTCAGAGGCTGATTAGATTATTTACACATTTAACTTTAAGCATATTCTTGTTTTCTGTTGGGCCTAAATTGGAAATTATGTGGACTAACTTCTTGCTTTATTAGGACAATACCCGAATGCCAACAAGTCCATCGTTTTCAAGTCTAAAGTACCAGGATGCTGGAAACTACATTTGTGAAACTAATCTACTGGAAGTTGAAGGGTTAAAGAAAAGGAAAACACTTAAACTTATTGTAGAAGGTAATGGAGCAGTTAGTCTTCTCAAAGCGATACCAAGTTGTACTGTTCACAATTATTTTACCATAATGTTTAAATATATTACTATTTTAGGAAAACCTCAGATCAAAATGACAAAGAAGACAGAATCAAATAAATCTAAAACAATAGTCTGTCATGTGGAAGGTTTCCCTAAACCAGCTGTGCAATGGACAATTACTGGTAGTGGAAGCATCATAAATAAAGCAAGTATCTTTCTCATTAATTTATGCACAAGTAGTGGTATTTGAGGTCTGGAAAACCTGACTGAGATTGAGCAAAAAAAATCCAGTATGTGTGTAAGAAGCGAAGTGATAGTCTTCTGCATAGTCTAGATCACAGAGCATCAGCAACAGATGGCACTAATTTCATACAGGGAACTATTATGCTCAGTTGTGCCTTCACAATCCTACTGAAGTCAAAGAAATTGCACTGGGTATAAATAAGGGCCCTTAGCTTGCAGCTTCAGGATTTGGGGTTCATGTCTTAGAGCAATGTAAATAATGGATTAATTCTGGACATTCTTAGCAGAAGGGAGATGATAAATGGCAGTGAATTTTTGAGAGACTGGGATGTTTTAGGCCAAATTAAAATAACAAATAGGTGTAACTCTGTCAAATGATGCTTGGCAGGAGATAAGTATCTGAAGAGTGCAGACACTAAAAAGGGAAGGGGGGGGTGTTTAAAGTGGCCCAAGTACAAATGAGAAGTGGGGGGGTTTTCATGTTTAAATGAGTAAAGCATTAAAATCAATTCTTTGAATTACAAGCTTATTAACAATTTTTATATTATGTTAAATGGTTTCCATTTTTCCAACCTCTAACAATGTATTTTTAAAAGGCATTTACTGCTAGAAACAATGAACAATTCTAGCACGTGGCCTTTTACATTTTTCTTATGATTTTTTTCTCTTTTTTCCAGACAGAGGAGTCCAAATATGTTAATGGACGATTCTCCAGTAAAATTGTAATTTCTCCTGAAGAGAATGTTACGTTAACTTGTACTGCTGAAAACCAACTGGAAAGAACGGTCACCTCAATGAATGTATCTGCCAGTGAGTATCTTCAATTAGAAGCATTTAAAACATGAATGAGAGCCTAATTTGGTGGAGACAAATTTGTTACGAGTGGTTGGCTGTTCGGTGGCCTATGTAAAGTGAGTTGCATTGTCTCAGTACAGTTCAGAGTGGACCAATATGCATATCACAAAAATCACCACAGAGCTAAATATGGGTTTTCTGCTGAAAGAAAGGAGCTAAGTGAACCCCACCTCTCCAAAAACACACACATGAATCCTGCAGGTTAGGGTTATGGCATGTTAGCAAGGGAAAATGCATGGAAATTTGCACTGTCGTGGTTTGTGATGGCACTTGATCTGTACTTCAGTCTTCCAGAGTAAGTGCCTGCTATCCTTCTTGGGCCACGTCTCCACTTACCATAGGATCAACTCTCTGGCAATCCATTTCCCAGGGTTCAATTTAGCAGGTTTATTAAAGACCGGCAAAATCTAATGCAGTGTGTGCCCCCATCAGCGCTGGTATGCCTTGATGTCACAAGGAATAAGGGAAGTTGATGGGAGCATTTTTCCCATAGTCTCCTGCTATAAGGCTGACCCAGAAATTTCATGCAAAGTATGTCAACTCCAGCTATGCAATTCACATAGCTGTAGTTGCATATCTCACATCGATTTTCTCCTCCAGTGTGGACCTGGCCTCGTTCATACACACATTATCAAATAACTTCTTTAGAACTGAGATCTTTTCTTAGACTCCAGTTCTGTGGTTTATTATTAAGTTTTGATGTGATTTCAGAACAGAATCCATCCATAGGTGCAAGGATTTAATCGACTGCCTACAGTAATGAAAAAGTGTTAAAATGTTACCCTGTCAATGCTAACGCATAAATGCTTAGTCAGAAGTATTCATAAGATTAAACTTGTCATTTTTTGGAATAAAGCACTTTCATATGATGCATTATGGATATAAAGTAAGGATTGCTGCCTAAGAAAATAAGATTAATTATTTTGTTATGTGGCTGATACCGCATTAAGTGTGAGTATTTTGGGCCTAGCTGTAAAATAGATCATTATATCGTTAAATAGTGCAGCATATTGTAAGGGTGAAGGTGACTTTCGGGTACCAAGTTTGTTTTTTAACTTTAATATTTTTTTTCATTTCATTTCAGTAAGTATCCCAGAATATGATGAACCAGATGAAAGGAATGGTACGTATAGTGCTGCACAACCCACTTCCTTAATTCTGTCCACTTTACTGATTTAATGACACTTAAGATTTATAATTTCCATAGTCTTCTCTGCCAGTGGAGTTCAGCTGAAATTGCAGATTCTGAGGCAATAAGAATGATTCTGGTAAAACTTTACTTATTAGCAATTTAAAATTTGTATATTACAGTCCTCTCAGAGTTTTGACTTACTGCTGTGGGATTATTTGTATAGAACATCTTTAATGCTGTTTGTTAAACATCTCATGAAATTTTCTCCTTTGTTTTAGGTGACAATAGAGAAAAGGTTAACGACCAGGCAAAGCTAATAGTAGGAATTGTCGTTGGTCTACTGCTAGTAGCTCTGGTTGCTGGTATCATCTACTGGGTATATATGAAGAGATCCAAGTAAGACTTTACAGAGAAGCTTGCTTTAAAAATAATGTGTATGTACTTGTTTAGCTTCCTACGCCAGTGGTTCCCAACCTTGTTTATACTGCAGGCATGGTGGCGGCAGCTCAGGGGACCAGGGTGTACCCCAGCTCTGGCCCCCAAAGCTGCTGCTGGCTGTTGGGAACTGCTGCCCTACACCATTCTGAAAATCCAGGGGAAAGTAGTGATCCCTTTCTGTAAATCTTACCTTGCATCTGTAATGAATATGGACCTCTTAATAGGGAGGCCATGTATCATCAAAGGGTCAGGGCACAGGTCAGGGAGGTAGAATTCCTTAAATCGGCCCCTGATTCAGCTCTGTGGCCTTCATCAGGTCACCTTGTGCCAGATTTATAATTCCATTTAAATTATTTGACTTGAATGAGACATGATATTTTGGTTTTGGAGTCAAATGATGGGCTGTCACAACCTCATGGATGTCAGGTGAGTTACCCTGGTGTTAGAGAATTTGGCAAGCTCATACATGCTCTAATTATCTGTCTGTAAAATTCAGATAAACAGATGCCAACATCACAGGTGTATGTAAAGCTCGATTAAATTGTACATAAAGTGTTTGAGATCCTTTGATTAACAGGTGCTAATGAGGAAAATTGTATTGCTTGAAAACTAGACATTACCTTCTGGATCTAGGTGTTTAGTCAGCCCTGGCAGAGTATACATTGTGCCTATTAGTGCTGCTCATTTTCAATTAGTTTCATTAGTACAGAAAAGCAGTTTCAGACTACAGGAAACAAATAGAGCAATCCCTGAAAGAAGCCTTCAAAATATTTTCCTCTTCACCCTCATGGCGATCAGCTCCCCTAACCATATGCAGTTTGGTTGGTACAGTCTGGTTCTGCTCCATGTATTATACAGACTAGAGCCCTGTCAGGTTTGAAAATGCATGAGGGGTAGTAAGAGTTTGCACTCTGATTCACTGGTGCTGTCTGATTGATTGACAGCAGCTGAGGATCTGGCCTAAACACAGTTCTAAGATCAATTAAGAGAGTGGAGGCAGTTATGTATGCTGTGTACATTTGCATAGGCAGACATTCAGTATTCAAGCTTAATTGCATTTCTCTTTAACTTTTCATATTGGTTTGTAGTAGCAATATAATATATGCATTTTGAGTATTCATGTGACCAGTTTCTCATTCAAGGGTCCCTCATCTCTGTCTCTGACATTATAGAGTGCTCCCATGCAGTCTTTAAATTTTACTTAAATGCAAAAGACAGGAGTATGCAGCACTTTAAAGACTAACACAGCTACATCTCTATTACTATTCTCCTTAAATGCAGCACTTCAACAAGAGCTAGGTGGGCAGGGGGAGGGGCTGGAATTTCCTGAATAGGGAAGCTTTATAAACGTAACACTGAGCACAGAAATATTACACGTGTGCTACTTAGAAAGCTGCAGGAAATTTTAAAAAAGTTAGTTTCCCACCCCCTTCAGTTACTGCTAAATATCCAGAATTTTTCTTCTATTTTTCAATGGGAAAATCAAACTATGAGACGATGACTCATTTGCGAGAGTGGAGACAGTGTGATTCTGAGAATGTAGTTTGTCCTTTGCTGTGATGTGTTTCTGTGCTTTATAGTGTAAAATTTTGTTTTCCAAACTTGCCCATTTCAAAAGTAAGAGAAATCACAGGACATTAAACTTAAAACAAAAAGCTGAAGAGAAATGGGAATATCATATTTATATTTAAGTAGAAAATTAAATTAGTAATGAGTAGACAGTGGGAGCAATTTTTTAAACAGTTATATTTAAACAGCAATCAGTCTGTCTGACAGCCACTAGTTTAAGTGAATCTAACTGCTAGAAATATTGCTGGCAAGTCTCTCCGTTCAATATACATTTATATTAACCTCTTCTCCTCTCCCTGGGGCATCAGTTTCCTTGTTTACTGCATGCAGTACTTCCAAAAAGCAAGCAGAGCATCTTTATGTATGTATGACACACAGGATTTCAGCACCAATCTCAGCCCAGAGATCTCAAATGCTGTCCTCTCAAAAGCACCATTGCAATACTTATTGACACTGCGTGTGTCCAATCACAACCCTCCGTTTCCACGCAGGCCACTCCCTCGAACAGTTAGTCACTTTTTGAACCCACCCTCGAACAGTTACTCACCTCCTAATCTCTGCCCCCAAAGTGACGTCAATGGAAAATCTGAGAAGGCAGCAGCACAGAACTTGCAAACCCTCCTGAGGCAAGAAAAATGTTACTTTTTTCATTAATGTATGTTGTGGTTTGTAGAAATTTTCTATTGTCTTGTGATGCAGGATAGGAGGAATTGTACTCACAGCCTTGGAGTGTATTCACACAGTCACTTCCGTAGTTATTCATCAGCTCACCTTCACTTAATTTTAAAAGCTGATTATTGGCACATCCTCTGCTCCAGTTCAATACAAAATAATTAGACTGGAGTAAATTGCTAGTGGAACCCTCAGATAGGTGAAGTCTAAATATTCCTGTCTTCATCTCATCTCAAACGTTTCCTAGAGTTTTAGAAAAAAATTAAGCTCCTCTGTTTCCCTTCCTTCTGAAGCAGAAATCCAGATGGACAACTTGTACTCTAAATAATGAAAATAGGACAAAGATTTAATTGCATTTATCTGTGTTTGGGAATGCACAAATTGCAGGTCATGTTAGGCTAGAGTGAATTTCTAAATGAAGGTTTAAAATGAAGGAAACATTTGGCTGAAAATTAAACTGCAGCCATTTTTATAGTGATCAGATGCCCACAATATTGTCAACATCTTCAGTCATTTTTAGCTAATTGCTAATTTCTTCCCAGACTGAGGTTTGTCATTGGAGGAGCAACAAAAAAAGTGTATTTCTGCTAATTTTGTAGGTGGTTTGGTTAGTAAGTTAATACCTAAAATTGCATATTGTGTTATATAGAACACCGTGCTCATACACTTCATAGCTATGAAGTTCACATAAACAGGGAAGACAAATTGGGAGTGAGCTGTTTGTGTTCTCTATTTTAGTTCAGAATAATATTGGATTTTTTTTTTAACTAACTAATACTACTTATTTCACAGTGACATCTAAATTAAAAATGCCTGGGAGCAATTTTTCCCCTTCCTATCAGCTTCTGTGGAGGAAAAATAAAACCTGTGTCAGTGAGTTTCAGACCTTGGGTCAACTGATTCTGCTTTTGGCTATTGGACTTAAAAATCTACACCTACATTGCTATTTTCAGTCCTGTAGCATAAGGCAAGAATCAGTAGACCTAGGGTCTGAGACTCACTAGCACAGGTTTTATTTTTCCTCAATGTAGTTCCCCAAGCCAAATTGTGAGCCTAAGACAGTTGACTTGGGCTTGGGCTGGCTACTACTGGGCTGTTCTGTTGGGGTTTTGGGGCAATATAGTTGTACTCTATGTAATGAACCACTTTTAAACTCAGGCTGTCTCGCAGCTTTTAAGGTTTAGCATGCAGAAGATCCAGGTGCAGCACTGCTCATACTCTGTGCAACAAAGCTCTTGTGTTTTAACAAGGTCACATGGGCAGTGTTAAAAATGCTGGCAGTTACATAAGGATTGCCTGCCCTAAGGCTACTGGGGGTAGAGCTGCACAGTTGTCCACATCAGTGGAAAATGTTTACTAAAATCCCTCCTATTGAACAAATATTGTAGTGAGATTAGACTTCAGCCTCTGCCACCATTGTCATAGAGAGGTGGGTGAGGTAATTTCTTTTATTGGACCAACTTCTGTCGGTAGAGAGTGAAGTTTTCCAGCTTCCACAGACTGCCATGGCTACAACATAGGCTTTAAATGTAAGTGTTCTACAGCCATTTGTAAGTATCTGTGTGGCCTTGTTTCAGAGGGGCTGAGCATGTACTATTTTCATTGTACTGATGTGGACATATCTTAACTTCAATGAGGGTGATGGGTACTCAACCCCTCTGAAAATCTGGCCATTCGATAGAGGTGTCGTAGATTAAAAAAAAACTGAAGGGTTGAAGAGGTGTGTGATACCGAACCTTCCTAGGTAGCCAGGACCCCTTACAAAATTATTCTAACAGCAGTTGGACCACTCAGCAACTTCTGTGATTTTTAGCAATAGTATAGCTTTAACTGAAGTAGATGATAATGCCAGATACAGAATCCGCCGACAATTAAGTAGCAGGAGATCCAAGCAGCTTTAGGCTCTGCAAATTCATAACATAGGGTTTTATGTTAATTGTGCACTTCAAGGCTGTGGTTCCTTCTCTCAAATCCAATAGGTCATGCTTGAAATACAGTTCTTGCATTGTTCAAATTTTAATTTTCAATGGAAAAATAGGCTTCTCTTGAGTTAGGGAGAAGTCCAGCCTTGCTTTCTCTGTCACAGCTGTGTTCCTGGCAGGAACAATAGTTTTTCTACCATCCCCTGTCAACTCAGCTCATTGGCCATTTCTGCATCTGTTGGTAATCCCCTTTTGAGAAAGGCTGGTCTCATCACTGAAAGGACCCTCAGGCATGATGGTTTGTAATGTACTCAGCACATTCTTCTCCTATGAGCCTCTACATTCTTTCAGTCTCCCATCCTTTCCCTCAATCTTTTTTGTAATCCTATGTTAGGAAAGGAGACATGCTGTTATGAGTTGTTATTCAGATGACAAGCAAAATCCAAAGAGAACAAATTTGGCTTTTTTTGCCCTCTTACAGTGGATTAAAGAGATTTGCAAACATTTTTAGGATCATATATATTCATCCACTGTCAATATTAATTTTTCTTCTCATTTGTTTTCTTTCACTGTCTCTCATTTTCCTCTTTGTGGATGAGTCCTCTCTGGCTTTGAGATCTCCAGAGAGATTGAAAGTAGCTGCTCCGCTGAAACTTATAATAGGTGTAACAAGTTACTTTGTGATATTATCTCAACATTTAATTGACAGTGGTCTACAGATATGCAATTAACCCCTGATTTTACATTTTAATTTCTACCTGTCAAAGTAAAACCTCTGATCTGGATTTGGAGGACACAGACTAAATCACTCAAGTGCTGAGAGCCCTCCAATAGTCTACTACTACTCTTCCCCTCAAAAGCTAGACAAGGTGTTCTTTTGTCCTTATCAAGAAAGGAATCCTAAAGCATCTCAGAACACAGAAACGATGGGAGATATACACAGGCATGTGCCAAAACAGTGAGGACAGAGTTATATGGGTAGTGCTTTATCGCACCAATCAACTATTCAGTGTGTGCATAATCAGTGATAATGAAGCAGAGACTTAGTACAAAGATCTACCAGTGTTGATGACAGAAGTGCTGGGCCTCTGGGAAAAGTGTGTGTGGAGGGAGGGTCTCCAATACCTCCTAGAAGGGACAGGACTGTGGGCAGAACAGGTATGGCCGGGGTAGCCTCTCCCAGCCAGCCCCTCTGTACTGTCCAGACCAGTGGCAATTTAAACACCCTGCAGTTCTGGCCACTGCTACAACTGTGATAGTGACAGCACCAGTGCCCCTTCTAAATCATTGGGCCATGGTACAGCTGTCCCCTTATTTCTCCCCTCTTTCCTTCAGCGGCCCTGTTGGCTTGTGCACAGAGAGGCCACACTAGCAGTACCATTAGACAGCGCAGAACGTGGTAAAAAGCCTAAAGTACCTCTGACTGGTCTATTTTTAATACTTAACGTAATATTCTACCTTAAAACAGAGAGGCGCTTACTGCAATTTCAAACATTCAGTCGTATATTTAGACCTGGGTCCATCATCCTGTGTCCCTTGCTTAAGCAGATGTATCAGTTCTGCTGCCCACTTCCCATGCTGGGCAACTGGCATTTCCAGTAGTAGCACTTCAGTCATGTCTGAGATTAAGGCAAGCCCCTGGGAAATTTAGTCTTCTTTTTTCCCCTGGCCCATAGCCCTTTATAGCTTGAGAATACTTTCACTGAGGCTGTTTGCACAGGCACACCGTACTAGCAAAAACCATTGATTTTAGACAGGTACATGCTGACTAGCGCCAATGTGTGACATGTCATGTTGTCCTGCTAACTTGTGCCATTCTTGCATTTTGCAAGTCAATCTCTTTTCAGTCCTTTACCCATGAAGCAGTGGTGATTCATATGCATAAATCTGCCACAACAAATAATTGGTTTGCTCTTTAGAAATAGTATAGTATCACAGAGAGAATGTGTATATGATAAGCTGCTTTGACACAAGGGATTTACTTTGTCTCATTCAAACACATTGTCTGTTTACATTTTAAAAAGTTGTGGCTTTTAAAAAGTAATCACACCATTGCAGCAATCTTTCACCTTGGCTGATGGTATGGTTTCTAACATTAAATGAGTGGCTTAGGGGGTCATTCTGCCAAGCTAAACGAAGCACTTAACTCACTAATTCATCTTCAGTACTTATATTAAAGCCATCAGACCTGACCTGCTATTTTAAATGAGGCATACCTCTTTCTTCTCCTCTCCCCGGACATCATTCACAGTCTCTTCTCTATCCAAAAATTGTCAGTTGTAACTAGCAGAGATCAAGAAAAATGCTTTTTATGTCCTGAAACAAATAGAATCTAGGTGGTACCTACAATGGTTTTCAATCTAATAAGTATTCATTGACTTCAACACAAAAGTTCCAAAAGCTATTTTATGTGAACACACAAAAATTGCTGTGTTGATAAAGATCCCTTAGCCACATTTAATAGGATTCTAAACAAAACACCTAGAGAACTAATTGGCCAAAGAAATGGAAAAATTTTCACAATCATCTTAGCCTCACTAAACAGCGTTATCCTGAGCTCTTTTGAAGTGTACAAGTTCTCTGTTACTAATATATGTATATGTAGTCATATTGCAATGCTTATTGGTGTATCCTTAGTTTTATGAAAGTGTTTCTAGTGTTGGTGTGCTGGTAGTTGAACTTAAGGATTTTCTTCTTTGCAGAGAGAGAGACACACATTGTATATTAATATGAATAAAATGTTAAATGTGCAAATATGACCCCGATAATTTTTTCTTGTAGGACAGCATCAAAACATGTAAACAAAGATCTTGGAAACACAGAGGAAAATAAAAAGCTAGAAGAAAACAATCACAAATCTGAACCTTAAGACAAATGTCAGTCATTCCCGGTAAGCAATATGAACTGAAAAGCATGGTACCAGGTGTGTCCATCCTTTGGCAAATAGAATCAGAACTGCTTACCTATGTGTCATATATCCCGTACAGCAAAGGAGGTCCTCTAGTTCCAGGGCTAGAGCGCCTATGCTTCTGGAGTAATATGAGCCAATATTTATCTTTGGTTAACCTTACAATTGAGATATGGTTTAGTGAGAATTATGAAGCCTTGCTCTCCCTTTTCAGAATATGACTGTTGCCAAAAAAACCCAAAAAAACAGCAAACATGATTCTGGGATGCATTAACAGGAGTATTGTAAGCAGGAGAAGAGAAGTCATTCTTCCACTCTACTCTGCACTGATTGGGTCTCAACTGGAGTAGTGTGTCCAGTTCTGGATGGCACATTTCAGGAAAGTTGTGGGCAAATTAGAGATGGTCCACAGAAGAGCAACAGAAAAGATTTTAAAAGTCTAGAAAACGTGACTTACGAGGGAAGACTGAAAGAACTGGGTTTGTTTAGTCTGGAAAAGAGAAAACTGAGTAAGGATATCACAGCTTTCAAGCACTCAAAGGGAGTTACAAAAAAAAGGGAGAAAAATTGTTCTCCTTAACCTCTGAGGATAGGGCAAGAAGCAACAGGCTTGAATTGCAACATGGGAAGTTTAGGTTGGACATTAGGAAAAACTTCCTGTCAGGGTGGTTAAACACTGGAATAAATTGCCTAACGAGGTTGTGGAATCTCTGTCATTGGAGAAATTTAAGAGCAGGTTGAATAAGCCTCTGTCAGCGTTGATCTAGATGATGCTTGATCCTGCCATGAGGGGACTAGACTTAACAGCATCTCAAGGTCCCCTCCAGTTCTAGTATTCTATGATTCTAAGTAGTCTTACTAAAGGCAATAGGAAATGCTTGTATTCTTGTAGCAGAGGAGGAGGGAGAGCTAGGCCCTGGGCAACTCTGGATTTGCCTACACACATTAAAAGAAATGCAAAAGGATCTTGACATTTAGAAATAATTTACTAGCAAATGCATTTGAAATGCAGTCAGGGGAATTTAAAAGATATCTACTCAAAGGAGAAAGCATTAATTTTACAGAGTAAAACTAAACATTTTTATAAAAATATTCAAGGGAAGCTATATTTATAATAGGTAAAAATTAAAGGTTTTGGTAGGCTGAAAACAATGTGCATTCAAGGGCTAAGCAGTTCTTAAGCAGTTACCACAAACCCCCATACTATTACTAGCTTTATGCTGGTGGCAGTCATTGTGACATGACTGTGCAAGAGTGGGTATTTCCCCTTTTCTTTATAAAAACAAACTGCAAGAGGACCCAGGGAAACCATAATGAATACAGTAATACTACAAAAATCCAACAGCGCCATCCAGTGGCCAGATACTTCCACCACTGCTGCATCTATTCTCTTTTAACGTCACAGGTCAGGCTCACGCCATTTTTTCAGAACAGTGCTGTCATTTAGCGCACAAATATTGTGGAAGGCCAAAGGTAAAGGAGATAGAAACCAGTTTCCAATGTTGTTTGAATTATGGAAGAAAACAGTTAAAAGATAAGCTTTCATATTCAATTGTCAAATTTACTCTAAATTATTTAAATGACTCTTTTTGAAATTTGTGAGTGTTCAATCTGAGACCTTCACAAGGCCCAGGTTCAGAAAGTGCTACATATCCATCCTCTGAGAAGCCTCTAAAGTGTCAAGTTGGAAAGCCAAAAATAGAGAGCCACAAACTCATTGCTCATTTTTGAGTATTTGGTGTAGAGATTGTAAAATTACACCAGGAATCGTAATTCAGTAAGACAGTGATAGAAGGAGAAAAAAAAATCTAAGCTCTTGAAAATTATGGGTCTAAATGTTTCACTTTATACTCCAACCTTAGCATAAACCACAAAGCAACTTTTCTTGCAGCCAATACTCAAACAATTCAAAGAGCTGAGACATACCAAGAAGGGTGAGCAGTAGTCCACAAATATGTAATTCTATTGTTGTTGTCATAGTATATCAGGAATGGCCCTATTTATTGTGCCAATAATGTTCTACTCATTTATAAAGTTTACTAAAACATTGTTTCAGAAGCCCCTTGTAAAGGTTGCGGTGCTAGAGTGTGTTACTCAAGTAAGGAATGAGTGTGGTGGAAGATTGCTTTCAACTTTTGGGGCGGGGGTACCTCTTGCTCTCTGCTCTTTGAATTTTACATCCCCTTGAAATTCTGTAGTCCTAAAGTACACTGTTGGAGGAAAAGAACCTCAACAACAGGATGTTGAGCGAAGGGGAGAAACCTACAAGCACTCAACCCTCGCCTTTCTGCTTCCAACTACTGGTCTCTCCTGCCTTTACCTGTGAATGACAAGCATCTTTACTTCAAAAACTTTCTTGAACACTTATCCCCTCCCATGAATTCCCAGCTGCAAAATTACTGCTATCTATCTTCGCCCTGGTCACAGTATCAAGAAAGATGCTCTCTCACACTGAATATATCTGGTCCCAAAGTAAAATGGGAAAGACAAGAGCCCCTCTATGGATTCCTCACAATGTCACAGGGTGGTATATCACCCTCTAGTAAGTCCCACCATCTCAATTTTTGCTGGACTAGTGGCTGTTGGGGTTGAAGTGATTGCTGGGCTGTGAATGCCAGCCCAAAATAGTGTATGGTATTTTATATATCATTCTACCATGGATGAAGGCTTTAGAACACCACATTCAGACTCTAGGCGTAAGGGATGTAAGGCCTTCAGAGGCCGGGGGTGGGTGGTGGTTCTATTTCCCTCAGCCTTAGGGAATGTTGAACATGCTGCAGTCCAGAGGTATGGCTGCAGTTTTGGTAGGCACACCCAAGCTAGAGCAGATCAAATTCAAGCTGACAACAGTATAGGCAGCCTCCCCATACAGTCTCACCTAGGATCCAGAGTTAGCTCAGGTCTGCCCACAGCAGCTATAGACATATCCTTAGTGTTAGAAATTTCCCAGGCCTACTCTTTGAAAGAGGCATAGAAGGTGGAGAGGCGGGGCTCTGGTGAAATGAATTATGAACAAATTAATTCATTTTGTGCAAGAAGAAAGTTTATCCTTTTCCTTGTAAAAACGATAGCAATATCGACCAAAAAAATTAGTCACTAAGTGTAATTTGCAAATTTCTGGGAAACTGCTCTGAGTGACAGAAGCTAGGAATGGATGATAGAATTACTCAATGCTCATTCCCTCTGAGGTACCTGATGTTGGCCACTATCCAAAGACAGGTTAGTGAGCTAGATGGGCCATTGGCCATTCTTATATAAAATAGTGAAATTTGACTTCTGAAAGTTTGCACTGCAGTTTCAATAGGAAAAAAGAAATTGTTACTTCTTGCCCTAATGTGTTCTGTAATGGTGCTGGACAGTGTAGAAGTTGCCGTATCTATAGAGATGACTGCATGTTGATATTGTTTGGGGTTCCTTGAAATCACGTGTGTTAGATAAACATGAATTTCTCATCATTAAATTTGTTGTTTGATTAATTATTATGGATTCGTCAGCAACAGATGAACCTTTTTGTGATATTTATAAATTATGTTTTGAATTATATTTTCTGGTGACATTTAATAGCTTTTTTTACCTGCAAAATAAATGTTTGTTCTGATAATTTTTCCAATTACCTAGTTTAAAACTGATTTTTTTTCACATTTTCAGAGACTACATATAGAAGCATGAACATGGATTGTATTCAAAACATATACAAAGAAGTGACAGTTATTCATGGTTCAAGTATTGATTCAAACAGATCATTCTACCAAGTTTTCAAAGGATTTTAGATGCAATTATCTCAAGTTTAAAAACTAATTTTGGCATCAGCCAAGATAATAGGTCACCATGTTGTGTTCTGTTTTGTTTGTTTTTGTAAATGTCTGCACTGAAGATTCCTTTTTGTTTGCCTTTATGTAAATTTTTTACGTAGCTATTTTTATACACTGTAAGGCTTTGTTCTGGGAGTTGCTGTTAATCTGACGTATGGTGTAATTTTTTTTCCCCAATTGTTTTTAGGATACCCTTTCTAGGTACATTTCTAATTCTAATTGTTACCAGTAAAACCCTTGCTTTTATAGAGCAGGGGACTAAAAAAGTGTAAGTTTGTATTACCGAGATAGGGCACACTCCTCCTTGAAAGTCATACTAGGGAGAGATGGAAACATCTGTGATAAAAGCGCACTAAATGTTTTTTGAAGGTTAAAAACAAACAGCTAACTGATTAGAAAAGGGCATAGACAGTTTCCAAAGATAAACTTGGGAGTCTAGCAAAGAAATTACCACAAAATTCATGTTTACCTGTGTACAGATGGTTGCTAATAAGCCTTTTCTGAGTGAGTGAATCACAAATGTATTATTGTTAGCTGTCTTGGAAAAAAGTTATTGATTGTTCTCACAATCCCGTGGTAGAGAGCAGCCGACAGTAGTTTTGGTTTTAAGTCCTTTTGGTTATTCACTGCCTTAAAGTACTGTACCTTTTCTTCATTAAAAAAATAGAATTGGAGATTTTTTTTTTAATGGTGGTCATATCAAAGCTGCATTTTTCCACAAAAATAGAATATATATATATTTTTTGTGTGTTTTTGTTAACTACGCTACAGATATTGAATGCACCTTGAGATAATTTTAGTGTTTTTACCTGGTACATAATTTATCAAACAGTGCATATAATTGTAACAATGAAATGTCTACGTATCTTTAGTTACATCAAGTTTGTAACTTTATAAACGTGTTTTATGCTTGAGGAAATTTTTAGAATGATGATGTAAAAGGAAACAGTTTTGGGAATATATGGCCAATAGAAAACTGTACTGAGATGGAACTTTTGAGATTTTACTCTTAAGCAGAAGTGTAGTTTCTGGGAGAATGTAATAGACACTTCTAATCATGTGAGGAAAATAAGTATATCAAACAAGCAGAATATCAGGTTTCCATTTTTAAATCTACAATCCAGGGGGGAAAAGTAAGTTTTTATAGACTGATAGGTTAAAAACAAATTTTAAAAATGGAAATTAGGAAACATTTTGCCACCTCTACATTATTTAGAAAAAACACTTACTTGTAAATTTGTAAAATGTTAAATGTCTGGGCGGTAGTACTGATGTCTTAATAAAAGCTTCCTGTAGTGCATTGGCATGGATTAAATACATAAAATGTCCTATCAACTCTATGCTGTATAAAATATTAGGGGGGAAATTCTGTTAATTGCCTCTAAACTTTGATTTGTTAATGTTTTATTTGGCAAAAGGAAAAAAACTATTGGTCAACATTTAAACCAAAGTAAAAGGGGGGGAAAAAAACCAAAGTTGTTTGTTTTGCATGGCTAAGCCATTGTTATCTCTGTAAATATGGATTTTTTTTCTTTTTCTTTTTTAGAATTTTGTTTAAAAATTCTAAAATTTTTAACACCTGTTTTCCAAAATAAAACGTGAACACACAAGTTACTTTATATATACTTTTTTAAAAAAAATTGGTGTGAACACCACTGTCAAGTGAAATGCAGTGGGAGTGACTAGAAAATATTGTAATGGCTTTAAATAGATTATAAATGAAGCAAGTTGACTAATTTTCTATACTGTGAGAAGAAAACTTCAAGACTGATAGGGAATGGGTGGAAATTTTACCATCTTGATGAAATAAGGAAGATTTTAAAACCCACTCAATTTCTACACTTTTAATTCTGCTACATCTCTTATCCAGTTTAACTCTTCAGCCCCAGGATACAGATTTTTTTCCCCTGTTCAACATTCACTTCAGGTATGTTTCAGGAGCCACCACCACAAAAAAAAAAAAAATGAATGTTTCAATCCATGCCTAAATGATAATAAAACTGAAGTATAAATTCACCTGTTTGTCTGACATTTCAGTTCAAAGGAACCCTTCTGAATGTGAAAAAGGACTTAGACCTTCTGTCTGACCCAGAATGGCTGTTCTTATGTTCTATCTAGCCCCAATATCTTGTCCTCTACCAGTGGCCAATGCCAGATGCTTGAGAAGGACTGAACAGAACAGGTAATCAAGTGATCCCCCCTATCACCATTCCCAGCCTCTGCAAAATCGAGTAGGGGACACACTTCCTACCCATCCTGGCTAATAAGCATCCTGAATGAATTTAATGAGACTCAAAAAAGAACTAGATAAAGTCGTGATCTTCACAATTTCCTCTGGCAAGGAGTTCCAGAAGTTGACTCTGCGCTGCATGAAGAAATGTGACTTTTTGGTTTAAACCTGCTACCTGTTAAGAATGAAGGGCAACCAAATAAAGTTATGTTATGGGAACAAGTAAATAGCTTTCTCCATGTCAGTCATGATCTTTACAGACCTCTATCATATCCCTTCATCTCTATATTCTGAAAAAAAAAATCATACCCAGACTTTGCATTACTGGAGTTCCACCACCTAGATAATGGAATCTGTCCACCTGTTGCAGATCAGGACCTAAAGAATCACAATGCAGAACATGAGTAAATATTTTAACCTGTAGTGAGTACCCATCATTGAGCAATTTGGATGCCATACAGGGTTATTTATGGTTACATTTTGCAGGGTGAGGCAATCAGGGTTTTTCCTTGAACTGCAATTATGGGCCATAAAAGTTAGTTGCAGATGAACCACTTCAACTAACTATTACTGAATTCAGTAATAATTACAGATGAAGGGAGGGCAAAAGGAACTATTAATCCCATTTTAAAGATGGGGAAACGAGGCACTACCTAACCTGCGTGATTGACCCCAGTATGTCCCTAGGTCTCCTGGGTCAGCCTTGTGATTAAGGCACTGGACTATGTTGTTCACTTTAACTGGTTGCAGAGTTGCTCTTCTGAACAATTGCCCCAATAAAAGATTGAAACAGAAATTAGGTATTGGTGGGAAGCAATACAGCTCAATTACCTACCAAAAAATTCAGTGGATGATTTTACTAGATGATGCCACCCCCCCCCCCCTATTTTTTTTAAAGCTGTGAGGATGTAGTACAGGGGAGACCAACCCACAGCTCACAAGCTGCATGCAGCTCTTCAAAGGAAAAATTGCAGTTCCCACACCCGCAGCTCAACTCCTGCACCCGTGGCTGTTCTGCATTCCCCTGCTCTGACTTTTTTTCCTTGCCTGGTCAGAGTGCTGCTTAGGACAGTGACCAACGGAAGCCTGCTTGGGCCACATGCGACTCTTACGGGGAAATGCGTTTTTTTGCTCAACAACTTCTTTCCCTCTGCTCTTTGCACTATATCCACCACTATTTTGGCTCTTTGTAACGGGTTGGCCACCCCTGATGTAGTATATCTATGGTGTAATGCTTGTTTGCACCCACTGCTGAGTATTCACTTCACTCTGAGGGTATTTGTTTTGACTTTCTAATACAATGCATGCTTCCTAGCAGTGCTTTTTTTGTAAGAAAAAAGATGCTGGTACTCCAGGGGGGGAAATACAGGGGAGCCACTCGGGGGGCCAAAATGCCATCGCAGCCCATTTAAGAACCACAGGCATGTGTCCCAAACAGGCTTCCATCAGGAGCTCAGCCACCCCAGGAAAAGAGGTTCTAGTATGCCTGAGGGAAATGCAATTCATTTAAGTTTTCCCAGGGCATACCATCAAAAAACAAACAAACCCTGCTTCCTAGCCATTTATTTATCAGACAACACAGAAACAATCTATAGCAACCATGACCACCACTGTATTAGTGAAGTAATAAATGTTATATATTCTCCATTTGTGATATATATGACCTGACTAACTACACCACCACCATAGCCCCAGTAATGCCCTTTACTTATCCAGTATGTACTGCATCATCATGAGCAGGAAATATGTTTTTAAAGTTACATAAAATGAAAAATAGTGTTTGTATTAGTGAATGTTTAAAATTATAGGTTTATTAATTTAACATTATGAAGTATTAAAATTATGTACACACCGTACATACAGTGATCTGTGCAGCTCCCCCACCACTCAAATATCCTGCTTTTCTGATCATCCTTTCATGCTGCACATGCCCATGTGAGCCACTGAATAATCCAGGGGTTCTCAAACTTTATTACACCATGACCCCCCTCAGACCAAAAAAAAAAAAAGTGCTAATGACTGCATGAGGAAGGACCAAAGCCTGAGCTGCATTGCTCTTGGGTGGGAGAGCCAGAACCAGAGTACTAGCCTCAATGCCTGTAACCTACCTCCTACCACTAGGAGCTGACACTCTTGGGTTTCAGCTTCAGCAACAGGAAAGTCTAAGTCAGCCCTAGACCTGACCCACAGGTTAAGAACCTCTGGCTATTCACATGCATGCATATATCACTGACGGATTTGTTTTCCAGTGTCAGAAGGCAAATGCTCAACTCTGTTCATATGGATTTGAAATTTCATTAATAGCTGCATAATACCTGTTTCTGAGGGAGGTACATCCAGCACCGGTCAGATAATGGAAAAGGCAGAACATAACTCAATTTATTTTCTAAATTGCGATTTTCTTAAATACGTTTATGAACCCTCATATCCATAATGATATTTCCACGACTTCAATTTCATGAAGCTGAAATAAAAGCTTTCCTCAGCAGAGCTGTGAATCCCAATGCAGTAGCATTCTGCTAGTGCCAGGGAAGGGAGGCCCGACCTGTCTAATTTCGCTGAGCCGAATGACACAATGAGGAAATTACCTTTTAGAATGTTTAAGCGTTTAACAACTGACGACGTTACTGGTATGCAATGTAACAGTTACAGTGCTTTAATGGGCAAGACACCTTTCAATTGCAATGCAGCTGCCTACATCAGGGCTTGCATTTTGGGTAGTAATTAGAGTTCAGAATGCAGCTCTCTGAACATCCCTCCTAGAGACACAACATTAGTGCAGTCTTGGGTGGGTTTTTTTCTTTTAATCCAAAGTATCCAAGTCAGGCTACAAACTCACATTGCTCTTGGGAATAACAAGAGAAAGAGTCACCCAAGTAAGGGTTTTTGAGGAAATCTAAATGTGTCCCCCATAGCCAGCACTGGCCAGCCGCTCTACAACACCACCATTTCTGAGCCTCACACTGCACCACAGAAAGAAAAGGAAGGGCAGCTGGTTCTCACCCCCCATCATATTTGAAGGGATAGTCAGCACTTCTCTGCTCTGGACCAGTAGCCATAATATTGGGGTCTTAGAGCAAAAGTGGAGTGCGATGCAGGCAGGCCAGGTCATGCTAGACTGTATTTGGGTCAGCTGGTGCAGCCCCCAGCTTGCCTGGATCTGGACCTTGAGGCTCAGGGCTCCCCCCCCAGCACCGGATATTTGTGGGGCCAGAGCACACAAAAGCTACTAGCCTGGGCCCCCCCAGGCTCTGGTGTGTGAGGGGAACATGGGAAGTGTGTCTCCTTCTCAGTAGAGGACCACATCAATGGGGGTTTGTTTTTTGTTTGCTTTTTTGTTGCTTCTCACTTGAGTGTGACCCCCCCACTGACTTTTCTGTGGGTCAGCAGACCCCCCCAACCGAAAAAGGTTCCCCATCACTGGGTAGAGAAAAAAGGAAGTCATTTCTGTCTGGACTCTTACAGGGAAATATGCCAGATGCAAAGCAGAGATTCCAAGAGAAAGTCTGGGTACCTCAAAGAGATTTTTGAGATGCAGTTTATTAGAGAAGCGGCGAGGAGTCCTGTGGCACCTTATAGACTAACTGAAGTGTTGGAGCATAAGCTTTTGTGGGCAAAGACCCACTTCATCAGATGCTGACACGTAGTGGGGGTACTTGCTGGGCTGTGGTGACCTCTGCTGTCTGGAGCAAGACCCAGCAGGGAAAACCTTATAATGCAAAGGTGACTCCATACCGGTTGAACCAGCCAACCCCCCATGGGGAGAAACAAAAGGAGGTGGAAGGCTGCCCTGGCTGGGGGCAGGGCTTGGAGAGGGGGAGTTAGTTGCTAGCTGGAAAGCAGGGGAGAAGGAAATGGGGAGGGGGCTGGGATTCCCCTATCTCAAGGGGGGCACTGAGGCCTCTTAGCCCCCAGTTCCTGTAACTAGATTACATCTGTGCTGTATCGTGGAGCAGCAATAAACCATCTGTATTCTACTGGCTGGTGAAGTCTGTTCGTGCCATTCCAGGGCTGCAGGAGACTGGGGAACCCCAATGCGCCGTCACAGATTCATGCTCCAACACTTCAGTTAGTCTATAAGGTGCCACAGGACTCCTCGCCGCTTTTGCAGATTCAGACTAACACGGCCACCCCTCCGATACTTGAGTTTATTACAAGACTGCCACCATTTAAACTTACAAACTGTGACTGATCTATTACATTTTACCTCCTTTAGAATGAGCATTATTGAGAAGTTTTCTCTTAGTAAACCAAGAGTTAATTAGCTAGAGATTTAGCTAACAACACTGTCTCTGGTGTAAGCTCTAGAGTACCAATTGTCTGGGGGTAAGTGACTGGTCTCTTGAGAATGGGAGAAACGAGTTGTGAAGTTTAAGTAACCTTTTAGCATAAAGCCCAGTTTGTCTGGGTGGCAAGATAAACTGCAGAGTGTAGGGGGACTGTCTATGGCTCCATGATGAGACTGGTACAGTGATTCAGGAGTTCGCATCTGTTATTGGGTTGGTGAAAGCTAATTCTAGAACATACCGGCAGCATGGGACGCCTGCCCTGTTTTCTGACAATCAGCCCCGACCTAGGCGCTCCCAGTTGTGAGCTACTTCCAACAGCGTGAGATGGGAAACAGTGAAATACTGAGAATAAGAGGGTAACTTCATTATAGACAGTAGTACATTAGCTGTAGGCACATTTCCATATGCCCTGATCCTGCAAGCAAAGCATTTGGGCAGCAGTCTCCAACCTTTTTAAGCACAAGATCACTTTTTGAATTTAAGTGCAATTCAGGATCT